TCAGCCAGTCTTTCAGTGACAGCACTGGATTCTCTCTTCCTCTCGTGATCATGTCTTACTAGACCTCGTACACACAAAAAAGAAAAAGAACAAGGCCAGCAGGAGCAAGAAGATCGCTCCATCCAGATGAACCTAGGTTCGCTATGTTCCCTTACAAGTAGGTGTGCAGAGAGCTCTCTGGTTCAACTAGATTACCACGTGCAACTAAGACATAGAATTGGACAAGTTTTCAAGGGCCTTTCCTTCATAGGTGGACGCCCCGATTCCAAGGAATAAAGGAAGATAGGTGGCCTAAGTGGATCAATGAAACAGCTAAAACAGCCTAAATCCAATCTATGAGGAAAATGATTCGTTATATCGGCACTTTGTTTGGCGTCTTAGGTCTAATCACCCACAAGGTTGTTCCAGCCGAAGTTTTGATTGACTGAAGTTTCCACCGCTTCTGCTGCCCTTCCGACATTCGATCCGTGAATCAGCGATAGATCCGCTTAATCACAAGGCACCCGAGAAGGAAGACCATCTCGTATCCGGGATTGCTTTCGATCTGACTATCAGTAGACCTTTCTTCGAGTATGGATGGTTTAGTACATTCATTCTGGAGCAACCAAGTGATGGTAACATAAGGGGGCATGGGATTCAATAGAGTATAGGTTCGAGATCTGATCTTGGGAAAAGAAGTAGAGACATGCGGGGCGAAAGCGATCGAACTAACCTGGCTCCATCTAGAAGGGCCCTCGGTCCTCTATTTCGTCTTTGGAACTCCTAAAAGAGTTTACGGGCCTAGCTCAACGAAAAGGCAAGTCCTTCGGTTCCAGGTTCGAGTGATGGTTCACCAGTAAGAGATCAACGAAAAGCAAGCCTTCTTCCCAGTTTGAACTAAAAGAAAGTAGTTGAAACCCGAGACCAAAGGAGTGTACCTTACTTAAGGAAGTGTACTTAACGAGGGGCTGTTGAGTAAGGGAGGGGTCGGTATACTAATAGTTGTCTTTGTCTCTACCCTAGCTAGATTCAAGTTCTCCTCCCAGGGGAAAAAGGGAAATGCATTCTTTTTTCATGAATACCCGGTAGCTGTAGCAAAGGAAGAAAGCGTAGAGGCTCTGCCTGATCTGATCCCCGGAGATGGAACAACTTCTGACCCCTGCTTAACCACACTAAGATTTAGTCAGTCTAATTGGAATACTGCTATTGAATCAGCGCTTTCAATGGTTCGCGACTCCACTGCTATTGATAAGGGCTGCTAGCCTCTTGTAAGCTGCTTCTCCCGTCCAGGATTCTCAGCATTCTTGGATTAGGCTTTACCGGGCTTCTCTCTTTAAGCTTTAAGGCAGGGCTAAGGCATTGGTTGACTTTCTTTCTATTCTAAGAGTTGGGAGCGAAGGAAGGTCTTCTTCAGTGCTTTCCTTCCCGGCGAGAAGCCCAATCTCAGGAGAAGGTGTGAGCTAATCAAGTAGCTTCAGGAAGGGAATTCCAGTCGTACTCGTAATCAAATAGAAATCACCGATTGAAGTAAGGTGATATTACATATCTCAATAGAATAAGTTCAGTTCAGTCGGTCTCTTGCCCGCGTGCTGACTTCTTGAGAAAAGCCGCTACCAATAGCTGACAGCTAAACTAATAAACTAAACTGGAAGACGGAAAGTCGGGAGCAAGGCCGCTTAACAAGAATGCCGGTGAGTTCGCTGGAAACTTTCATGCTAGTGCTGCCGATGACGGACCTAAGAGTTGAAGAGTTGAAAACCGCTCGAAGCGTATATAGTGAAAAAGTCAAAAGGTGAGGTGCTTTGTTCTCCGTGAGCATTCATAATCTTCAGACATGAGGACATCAGAGGGTAGTAGACGAATCGCTATCCCTTCGAAAGTTGGTTTTAGGCTGCTACCAGCAAAACGTCTGGGCGAATCCGCCCGCCTTCCTCTCTTTCTCTCCTTCTCCTTCTTATGCTTCTTTCGTTTCGCTGCTATGCTAAGCAACCTCTAAATTCATTTCTCTCTTTTCTTTTATCGTATATAGTGAAAAAGTATCAGCATCCATGCTTTCAGAGGCTACTGGAATACTAGAAAAGGCTATAAGTAGGCTCTTTGCTATTGCTAGTTGGGCTGCTCGCCTTTCTACGGCTTTACAAGGCATTTCAGACTACAGGCAAGGAGCGGTAGCCACTCGACATTACAAAGCAACATAGGAGAGAAAGCAACTCGCAATTGAAATAAGAAATAAGTGCTTGAAAGAAGCAGGTAAACGAAAGGAAAGGAGCAAGAAAACGTATGTGTCGCTTTAGCGCTAGGGCACTCATCCGTTCTTTGGTGCAGGAAAGAAAAGTCACTTCACTCCGGCATGAATAGCAGCCCTCCTGCACTAGGCCCACTAAATAGGGGATGCGTGCAGACGTAATAGGTCTTGACGGCTGAGCATTTATCCATAAACTATCATCTAGGCTTGCCTTACTATACAAGCAAAAACTTCGGCAAAGCCTATGACTATGCGGCATATCATGAAAATCGAAAACCTCAAGATCCAGTCAAGAATAGAATTCTAGTACGAGTAGCAAACTGAAGGAAGCTCAGCTTACTCTTATCAAAGGTCAGAACGGGAAAGCAGCCATCGCCACCGCCGCCCCGAGCAGATTAAGTAGGAGAAGAGGTTAAGCTATCCTTTTGAAGGTGATAGTTCACAGTGCTTATTCTATAATATACTTGAAAAGCCAACTAATGTTTCCACTCTATTTTCATTACGAAGATGTATCACGTCAGGATCCGTTGCTCAAACTGAATCACGCCAACGTTATGGAAGTTCCTGGATTATGTAAAATAAGAGTAGTACCAAAGGCAGCACCTTCTATCAAAAATGGAAAATTGGCTATGGAGATTCCGTGCGGTCAGAAATTAATACAGACACAAAGGTCTTCGACAGGAAAGTCGTTTCGATCCAATCCATTCTTGGGGTCAAATAAAGACAAAAAAGGATATGTCAGTGACCTAGCACGACAAAGCACTCTCCGAGGGCATGGAATGTCTAATTTTTTGGTCAGAATCTCCACAGTAATGTCTCTATTAGATTCTCCGGTCGAAATACGGGAAAACTCTATTCAATTCTCGATGGAAACGGAGTTTTGCGAATTCTCCCCAGAACTGGAAGATCATTTCGAGATCTTCGAACATATTCGAGGGTTCAACGTGACTATTGTCACTTCGTCCAACACACAAGATGAGACTTTACCACCGTGGAGCGGCTTTTTGCAAAAAGATGAGGGGGAAACTCAGTAAGATGTCGGAGAAGCGAAATATACGAGATCACAAACGTAGATTGCTCGCGGCTAAATATGAATTGAGACGAAAGCTTTATAAAGCCTTTTGTAAAGATCCCGATCTTCCTAGTGATATGCGGGACAAACATCGTTATAAGTTGTCCAAGTTGCCAAGAAATAGTTCCTTTGCACGAGTAAGAAACCGATGTATTTCCACGGGTCGCCCTCGTTCCGTATATAAGTTCTTTAGAATTTCTCGTATCGTTTTTCGTGGATTAGCATCTCGAGGTCCTTTGATGGGCATAAAGAAATCGTCTTGGTAGCAAACACCAAGAAAAGGGTTAGCTACGCAGTGAGTCTACAAGCAAGGTAAGTAGGTCCATTACCGGCCGGCTTCGGACCGAAAAGACCTAACAGAGTAATCCCTTGATCTCGGATCGGAGATGCTAACAGGGCGGGAATCGAAGTGGGGGACCTCTCTACCGCCTGTGTCTATCTCCTGTCAAGTATGCTCCCCAGACATAGACTCCGTACAGGGTAGTACTCTTGGAAAGATAGAATATCACCGCGTGAACATAACATGTTGTTACGAATGTAACTCCCTCCCGAGGTATCGACCACTATTCTAAATAGAGTGAGTAAGGCGGAGAACTCTTGTTCATTGGAGCGTCGGAGTGCGGAGGTTGTTCCCATCATTGAAGTCAGAGTGTGGGACTGAGCCTTCCGAATGAGAAAGAAAAAAGTGCAACCTTTCCGTTGGAAAAACCAACGCAAATATCATATTGACTTTCTCTCGCCCTACTTCTAAAGATAGATGATAGATATAGATAGAAAAGGTTGTAGAGAGTGACTTTATGAAATTCTCTCCTTTTATAATTCTTTCTCCCACACACCTTTGCCCTCTTTCACCGAGGAGGAAAGAATAATCTTCCAAGGCGAGCAGAGACCTAAATTTCCATTACATTCCTAAGCTTGCTTTCTTGCAGCAAGATGAATGATCAGTCCGAGAGTGCTGGAGAAAATAAAAGAGAAAGCGGTAAAAACCTCTCTTCTTCGGTCACCGAGCAGTCGGACGACTCTTCAGTAACCCAGGATGATCCGACCCCTTCGACGCTTCTTCCGCTTTTTGGGATTCCACTAATAGAGCAGAAGCGAGGGGATTGAAAGTCTCTAGGTACCATCGGCATCTTAAAGGAAGGTGTTTAGTATTTTGTAACGCATTAGGACCCGAAATAGGGATCTTTTGTTTAGACACAGTCGACTCAATACACTAGATAGCGCCTTGACGGGATAGTTGAAGATTGAGAAGCTGATGTTCCTATACGTTCAGCATCGGTTCATTCCGTACTGCTCAATATAAGTACCTTTTGCCCAACTCGAGGAGAGGGAGGCTTGTGACAACCACTGCCCTTAGTCTCCCTGCCTCTTAGACTAAGAATAGGTGGGATGGGCACATCGAGAACAGTTCACTCCGTTGATACTAAGATGATTCCAGATCGCCCTTCTACTAATCCGATCATGTCAATTCATATCTCTTCTTAATAGAAGTAAGAATGAGATAGGTCAAGCTAGGAAGCTTCCCATTAGTGACCGTAGGGACTATCTATACCCATCGCAGCATTGATAGAAAGATTGTTGGAGAAGCTGGCTTCGGAGGTGGAAGAAAGGGTACTACCAATTTCTATTTATATATAGTAGGGCCCCAGAATGCCAAAAGGTGGGGGAGCAAGAGTTGTCACGATATAAAAGAGAAAGAAATAAATGACTCTAAGGAACCAACGATTCTCTCTTCTTAAACAACCTATATCCTCCACACTTAATCAGCATTTGATAGATTATCCAACCCCGAGCAATCTTAGTTATTGGTGGGGGTTCGGTTCGTTAGCTGGTATTTGTTTAGTCATTCAGATAGTGACTGGCGTTTTTTTAGCTATGCATTACACACCTCATGTGGATCTAGCTTTCAACAGCGTAGAACACATTATGAGAGATGTTGAAGGGGGCTGGTTGCTCCGTTATATGCATGCTAATGGAGCAAGTATGTTTTTCATTGTGGTTCACCTTCATATTTTTCGTGGTCTATATCATGCGAGTTATAGCAGTCCTAGGGAATTTGTTCGGTGTCTCGGAGTTGTAATCTTCCTATTAATGATTGTGACAGCTTTTATAGGATATGTACTACCTTGGGGTCAGATGAGTTTTTGGGGAGCTACAGTAATTACAAGCTTAGCTAGCGCCATACCTGTAGTAGGAGATACCATAGTAACCTGGCTTTGGGGTGGGTTCTCCGTGGACAATGCCACCTTAAATCGTTTTTTTAGTCTTCATCATTTACTCCCCTTTATTTTAGTAGGCGCCAGTCTTCTTCATCTGGCCGCATTGCATCAATATGGATCAAATAATCCATTGGGTGTACATTCAGAGATGGATAAAATTGCTTTTTACCCTTATTTTTATGTAAAGGATCTAGTAGGTTGGGTAGCTTTTGCTATCTTTTTTTCCATTTGGATTTTTTATGCTCCTAATGTTTTGGGGCATCCCGACAATTATATACCTGCTAATCCGATGTCCACCCCGCCTCATATTGTGCCGGAATGGTATTTCCTACCGATCCATGCCATTCTTCGTAGTATACCTGACAAATCGGGAGGTGTAGCCGCAATAGCACCAGTTTTTATATGTCTGTTGGCTTTACCGTTTTTTAAAAATATGTATGTACGTAGTTCAAGTTTTCGCCCGATTCACCAAGGAATATTTTGGTTGCTTTTGGCGGATCGCTTACTACTAGGTTGGATCGGGTGTCAACCTGTGGAGGCACCATTTGTTACTATTGGACAAATTTCTCCTTTTCTTTTCTTTTTATTTTTTGCCATAACGCCCATTCTGGGACGAGTTGGAAGAGGAATTCCTAATTCTTACACGGATAATGAATTTTTAAAAATCAAATAGGAAATCAGTGTGAAAAATGAAAATTCTGACACCAATCATTTACGAGTGAGTATTACACCAAGAATTGACAAGCGGATGAGTTTTCTAGTTGGCTATGTTGATATAGCTTAGATAAGGAAAATCTATGAGAAGAAAATGAGCCATCCTCACCAATTGCAATTAAGTCATTCGAACCTACTTTCGGAAAATCATCAGCAATGGATAAGCCAGCAGCATGCAAGCTCAAGCTCAAGGGAAAAAGCGGGGTTTCAAACCTCATACCAAGAGAAAGATTCCAAACAAATACAAAGAGCAAATTTGATTTCTAACCAGCATACGCAAAGCAAAGAACGGAAAGGTGCTTTGTACCTCACTTCGCTAAGCAGCGATAATTGTACTGAAGCTCTCTTTCCAACGCCCGCCGATCGTACTACTTCATTCTTAGTGTGCTGACCAGATACCCCACCAATAATGAGCTAAGAGCCATAGCAAGAGATATAGCGTAGCCTTCCGGCTGAGTGAGCTCATAAACAGGCGAATCAATTCATTTGAAAGAGAAAGTCGGGTCTAGCTGATTTCCGAGTTGACCAATGATAGATAGGAAGGACCTACTCCTATATTATAAAGGGCTATCCGGTAGCTTCCGCCCCTAGCCTTCAACGGAGTTCGCTCGATAACTCTCCTCGCATGTCCTTGGAAGGGGCCGCCTCGCCCCCTCGACATTCCCTATTCCCCGAAAGGCTATGAACTAAGCAGCTCTTAGTCAAATGCTACTGTAAGAATGGTGTCGGGTTTGGCTAGGTAAGACCCCTTCCTTTCTTTCACCCCTCCACCTTCTAGAGTAAGGGCTTTAGGACAGATTAGAGTCTGGGGAAAAGATAGAGTCTGCTTTGAAGATGCTCGTACGACAGGTAGAGGGAACGGGCGAGTGGAATACGAGTAACGAGCGAACGTAGCCCGCAGGAGTCAAGGGGTTGTAGGGGCGACTCCAGAGAAAATTATGGCGAGGAGAGCGGTCTACAAGAGTAAGCGAATGGTTAATTCACTTAAGTCTTTCTTGGAAGTGGAAAACCAAAAGATGCTATGCTGCCTACCACTTAGAAAAATCGGACAAGTTTACGTTTTCTCGGGAATTTTCGTTGCAAGTCCATTTCCCTTCCGTAACGGACATTGAAATCGATAGAGTTGCATTTTCCCCGTATTTTGAGTTGCAAGAACTTTTCCTTTCGTCCTTCTCCTCTAATCTCTTTCAAACCCACTTTCTTATGCCAAACTAGGCGTAGCCATCCACGACTGATAAGGGAAATTGCTAATGAATGCCCACCCAGATAATGAACGGTAGTAAATACGATGGATATCATTCTACTATACCATAGACGTAAGATGATGTAATGTCATGCCGCTACAAACAAGGCTGCTAGATATATTATTTTTATTTTTAGGTGTGTATAGAATGCAAGGAGAGCCCGAACCGGTGGCCCCATGCCAGGAGAAATTTGACCTAGGTAGGCACTCAAGAAGGCATCTATCCTCCAATCATTCCAGCCGAGAATTTGGAAAGGTTTTTCCAAGGCATTGGACCTCAAACGACTAGAATAGCATCACCTACGTAGAGGTACTTTAAAAGTCTAAGTGTATAGATGAACTAGAAGGGGAAGGCCAAGTCTTACCAAGTTCTAAATAGGCAGAAGGAGCAGAGTCGTAGTACATGGGGAAATCGGTCCTAGAGAATTGAATTGTTTTCCATAATAGGTATAGAGGATGTAGTTCGACTAAAGTCAAAGATCACAGAGGTACGAAGCCTAATGACAGAACAACCAAGCGCCTAATGGCACAGTAGAAGATTTTTAAACAAGGAAGGTGGATAGGCTAGATTTGAAGAAGGAAAAGATGTAGCATCCAAAGTGTGCGGGGAAAGAAAGAGCTTAGGTTGTATAGGGAAAGGTCCAATGGAGGAGTCCCAGAAGAAGGTTAATTAGACGGAGGATACGGGCCGCAATCGAGGCGGATCTCTTTTCCCATATTCTAAAGCTGGAGGAACGGCTTATCGAGGGCGCGAACCCCGCATCGAAGAGGTGAGGTTGTGGCTTAGCCCGGAAGCAAGTCAAGAAAAGATCGTTAAGTAAAAGCGGTTGCTATTTAATCAGCTTCTGGAAACAGGGAAAGCCCTTTCCTTTTCTTTTGATTTGGATGCCGGAGCTTCTTCTCGGGATCAAGGATCAAGAGGTCAAAAAAAAGTCAATAAGTGAAAGACTGACTCTCTTTTACCCGTTTGAGTATACTACTATTGTATTGAAAGACGGCATTTTCGGTCAACTCGGGGACACCCAATTCCTCTACAACATCGAATTCCGCGGCAGGGGCGATATCAGATACTGAGTAGGTGGCAGGAGTGGTATCAGCAATCCAGTATTGCAGCATTATACTATAAGAGAAAAAAAGAAAGCGATAGAAAAGCGCCACCAGAACCAGATGATTGGAGAAGAAGATCCGGAGACAGATCTTGATTACTTGCCGGTGGGCGCTCTCTTGGGTCTCCTGTGCTACCTCGACCAAAACCAAAAAGGACTACACCCTATGATTCCGGGACATAATTTGTTGAAAATGATTCCACAGTCTCAGTTTTAAAAGACAATTCAAGACTAACATAAGACGATGAAAGGAAACTCACAGAAGACTCCTCCGCGGCATCGGTGGTTACCACTGAATGGGATGTTGTCGCTTACTAGGATGTTTTCTCTTAATCGTCTATAGATATAGAGTTTCGAGCTAGTGATCACTAATTTCTTTGGCAGAAGCTTCGATCTAGAATGCAGTATCTGGGATTTTCAAAGGATACCGCTCTAGGAGTAATCTAAAGTCCTTCCCTCCATTGCTTACGGAGACGGCAAATCCAGAGAAAGTTCTAGGCCCTCTAGTGGGTTGGCATCAATGTTAGCAGAGAGAGAGAGTTCCTGGGAGTTGGAGAAGATTGAGTTCGTGCGATAAGAATCAGAGTCATGGCGGGGGAGAGCCCCAAGGTCAGTGGAGTTAATGGGACGACTCCGCCTTCAATAAAGAGGAAGCAAGTAGGGCACAGGCTTTGAGGTTGGAGCCTTGCCCGTGAAGGTATCCCAATAGTTGTGCTAATCCAGACTAGACTGTCTTCCAGAAGCAAAAAGGAATCCTATCGCTATAAGAGGAAATGAGGCTGACACTGATATTGAATTCATTTCTGTAAAAGTGAAGACTTTCCCTGTTATAGTCTCCAAGTCTGTTCCTATCACTTTGGGGGAATGAAGCCCTTTCAACTGTAGCTTCTACTTTTCTTTTCATGAATGATTTGAGTTGAGTCTCTTTGAAGAGGGTATTTTGATCGTTGTGCAGAACAACAACATGTTGTGCTTTCTAAGACCCTTTTGTTGGGCTTTCGTTTACCTAATTGTTGAGTACTTGCTAGATTTGGTTTGCGTTCAGTGAACCGATCCAGCCTTTGCCTTGTTGGAGCCGTTGGGTTGTGATTGAGCAACGCTTGGCGGATCTCGCAATGTAAATGCAAGTGCTTATTTACGAAAGATAGATTGTTGGTATGGCTGCTGCTACCAAAAGCACACTAACTTAGTCACAAGTAGAAATGAGCCCGACTGCCGCTCAGAACGTCTTTGCTGGTTGCCGAAGGTTAAAGCCCGACAGAATGCCCCGGTTGCACTCCATTGGCTGATTTAGCACCAGTAGCATCAGTGGTTTGGCTTTTCGGACTTCAGTTTTCATTTTTTCCCTAGGGTTGAACCTGAAATCAACGGATAGAACCGATTCCAGAGAAAATCCAAGTCCAAAGGATGAGGCTGAAAGTTATAGAAGAAAGGCAGGACAATCTAATGAGACAGGTAGAGTAATCTATATACATATAGAACAACTATATATATATATAAAATAGTTGTATATCGAAAGCTAGCTAGAAAACTAAGCAAAGGAATCGCGCGAACAGCAGAGCAGAAAGCAAGAGCGCACCGCACAAGGCATTAGCACACCAGACACATTGTTGGTCGATCTTTCCGGCGAACTTCAAACTGAACTTCACAAAACATCTCACCCATGATCATGATCTTGACAGCCAAGTCACAGAGATCATTGAATTGCAGGAAGGCAGTGTAGTTTTATTCGCAGGGCTCAAGGTTCGTGGTCAAGACCGATAAGGTGACTACGAGCTATTTCTTTACTCAGAAGAGAGCCCCAAGCGGGCACGGTGGCAAGACTTTCTGGCGTGGTTCGGAGCCTTCGGCCGCGAGAGGAGAGGGTCCTTTGGCTTCCTCAGGGTCGTGTGAAGCAACACTTGCTTTAGCAGCCATGTGATGATTCAAGTTCGTGGTAGCCGTAGTAGCCCCCTCGGGCATGCTCTTTGTCCAAGCAAGCGAAGAGCTAATGAGGGCCGGAATGGAATATCGTATGTAGTGTAGAATCAGATCTGAAGCTCTTTGGAACAAGCGAGGAACGAGTGACCACAAGCTCCGCTTAAGCGCTCGACATGTAGTTAGCTTAAAACATGTTCATCATGTGGCCTAGCGAAGCGCACCTCTGTGAAGCAGCCTAGCATCACTTTAGATAGAAGCAGAATGGATGACTTACAAACAACTGAAAGTCAGTTCTCCGGATCGATATATCGTACGACGTAATGGAGCTCTTGATCTAGATCCGGTAGTTCGCAGAATTCGGGACCTAACAATGTTCGGTTCGTCACATGAACTGAATGGGAGCGGACGATTCCTCGCCTCTTCCTTTTCGGGGAATGGCTGCAATCACAAGCAAGTGATTGAATGAGTGGGGGCCCCGAAAGCACATGCAAGATAAGCAGGCGGTTCAGGAGACGGTCTAAAAATGGGTCCGGTACAGAAAGAGAACTCTCAACAAAAAAAACGAAGAACGAAGCTGGAACTAATCAAGATCAATAGGAAGCTAGGAATCTATTGACAAAGTTCATGCCACGACGATCTCTATGAAAGGGTAGTTTTCTTGATGCATTCCTCTTGATAAAGTTTTTTTTA